AAAAAAAAAAAAAAAAAAAAAAAAAAAAAAAAAAAAAAAAAAAAAAAAAAAAAAAAAAAAAAACACGACTCTTTTGGTCTATTACCGTTGTTTGTGACAGAAATACTTGTGGGTATCGCAATTTGAATCATCGGTTCAACAATGAACTTGTATTACCGAGAACCAAAATACAAATTTAAGTTTTGGGTCGGATATATAAATTTTACCATATTTCAAAAAAGTATTTTTCTCCAAAAGAAAACTTACTCGACAAGATAAGAAAAAGAAAACGATAAAGAATACAAAAAGATGACTTCTCCATTGTCGTCCCGTTTTTTCGATACTCTAAACCATTTTCAAACTTACAATGATAACACTCAAATTTTGTAGAGAAGAATGAGGTACATGTTTGATGTGTAAATGCATCGTATTGATGGGGAGAATGGAATTGTTGTCTTCAAAAACTTGGACACATTCACTCCTCGAGATTCTAATTCCATCCCTTCAAACTTTTTTTTTTTTTTTTTTTGGTCAAATCTCGATGAACATGTTTAGGGTTTATAGTTTAGGTCAAATCTCATCGGCTCCAACAATCCCTTGCGACATGATCACGTTACTCATCCCTTGCTTCCAAGAGTAAATATTATACCCACAGACCAATACGAGTCCTTTCTAGGATGTTTTGTCTTCACTCATATGCATTCGAGGAAAATTTCTTAGAAGTCACCCAATTCAAGCAAATCACGCTTAACCTTAGAGTTTCTATAATTAAACTACCGAAAAGAAAGGATTGTTGGTATAGGTAATAACCTTCAATTCGTTTAATTCTTTCATAGTCATCTTATCTTCAGTATCACTCTCATTCGAATGCGGTCTTGGTTCATTCATATATCCTTCATTTACTCGGGTGTCACAAAATTTATGTCGGGTGATCTCTTGAAATTTTTTCTAAACATATGAATGAACACAAAACATGTTAAAAAAACCCGGGATGGCTGTCTTCATTCTTAATAGAAACCACTTAAAAGTTAGATAAGAACACACACGGAGGTTGTCACATAGGTTGTCACATAGGTTTTCATAGATTACACTAAATGGAGTAAAAAAAACATAAAAACATCAAAATTAAGGTTTCATAGACCAGACCAACTTGAGTAAAAAAAAACATTAAAAATCATATGTGTCAACTTTTTAAGTTTTTTTTTTATTAGAATTATTTCAATTTATTACAGAAATTTAAGAAAATTGATATTTAGAGATAATATAAAAGAAAAGGCAAACACTAAAAAAATGAATAGTAATTAGATATCATTAATCTACTGTTCCTAAACCATGATTAGCAGTGCTAATGCTAATTAAGATTATACGGCCGCCAATCAAAATGCGACATGTGTCGGCATCGAGATGTTTAGTCGGCCATTAATAATTTATCAACTAATTAAAACTTAAGTTGTGATTTAGTCTATTGTTCTATCATTACCGTCTTAAAAAAAAGATATTATTTTCAACCATATCATTGATTAAATTTTTTTTTATAAAATATACTAAAATGTGTATTAAATTATTTATAGAAATAAATAATCTTCGCACGTGCGGGTTCATAAATAATAATATTTGAATTAATTTGCGGTTTAGTGTCATGGTAAATTGAATTAAAATTTTATAGACAAAGATGATTTGCTAGGTACGGGAAAATCGTTCCTTTTCATATATTGGTTCGTTTTCTATTCATTTTTCCTTTACTTTCAAGCTTTTTTTTGAAACCCGTCGAGCATTCATCAATATCGAGAATTAGGGTAAAAAAATCAACACCGTTGGATTTGTTTTTCAAGCATTACGTGTCGAGTTTTTATCGAGAGATTTACTGAAACAGATTAACTTATAACCTAATTTTACATTAGATTACGATTGATGACACGAATAGAGGCACAATAATGATTGAATTTGACACTAGAAAATTTAATTATATCGAGAAAGAACGGGTTAATGGGCTAATATAGTACAATTAAAAGAAAGTTGTGTGGGAGAGAGGAAGAAAAAGAGGGTGAAATTAATAAAGCATTTTGATGTTGGACCATATCATGTCTCCTCCTCTTCACTATCCCCATGATATGATCTTCGTTTTCTTGTGCTCCTCCACTCCCACCTTGAGAGATTGATATTGTTGTTCTTCACATATGTCGACTAGTAAAGGCAAAGACGTTGGAGAAGGATCGTCATCGAGTTCGTCTTCTCTAGTTATCGTTGATGATAACAATCAGCAACAGCACCAGCAACAACAGTTTGCTCCGGTGAGTCGTTATGAGTCGCAAAAGAGGCGAGACTGGTACACTTTTGGGCAATATTTGAGGAATCAACGACCTCCCTTAGCAATTTCGCAATGTAATTCAAGTCAT